TGAGCTTTCCCGTCCAGTTGGTTCACCATCTGGGCCACCACAGGGGCCACCCATGCATTCATTTGGTCCCCCTGGGAACTTCAGGCATCCTTCTGAATTTAGGCACCCCCCTGAGGACTTCATGTGCCCTCCTAAGGATTTTAGAGGTCCACCACCCCTCATGGATTTTGGTGGTGACAGCGAACCTTTTGGCAGAATGGAGTTTGGGAATAATAAAATGGGAAATTTTCCTGAAGGAAGATTTATGCCGGATCCAAATTTCAGTGGTGGTTCTGAACGTGTTGTTCCTATTCGATTGAAAAATTTACCTTTTAAAGCTACCCCTAATGAGATTCTGGACTTTTTCTATGGCTACAGAGTCATACCAGAGTCAGTTTCTGTACAGTATAACGAACAAGGATTACCTTCGGGTGATGCCATCGTTGCTATGACAAACTATGAGGAAGCTATGGCTGCTATTAATGAACTGAATGATAGGCCAATTGGTCCACGGAAAGTTAAGTTGAGCTTGCTGTAAAGGAGGAAAAGTTGCTCTAGAATGCAACAGTCTAGATTTGACAGTATTGACAGTTATTTTCAGTTTTTTAATTACTGGAAGATGCAGAAGAAACTGTTTCCATCAACGGTTGTAAATAATATCTAGTTCAGTTGTTTAGCTCTTGGTTGAAATCTCTGTATGGTTAAGATATGAGAACTGTATTGTGCCTACTTCTTGTGGCAGAGAAGAGCCCAGAAATTCTGGAAGACATTGAATGTCTTACATCAAGGTATAAAGGCATGGAGTTGTAATGCTTTGGTTTTTTTTTAGTTTGCTGTAATTCCATGTCTCATGACTTTGCATCAAATAAAAATGTAAGTGCTGGTTGATTTACCACATAAACGGTTCAAATAGAAGAACTTCAGTGCTACTGCATTAATAGATAACGCTTCTTACTGAGGTTAGCTTAATAAAATTAAAAAATGACTTTTTTTTTGTGTAAACTGTTCAGGTTTTGTTCAGTTTCATGTGGTTGCAGGCATTCCTATTAAAAGAAGAGAAAAGAGCTTCCTGTTCACATTAGCTGGCTTTGCAACTTTTTTTTTTAAATAAAAAAGAAATTGCCATTAAATGTGTGTCTTATATTTAAAACTTGTATAGTTAATGATCTCAACTGTTATGCTCAGCATAGCATACCTGGGTCTTGGTGAGAATAATGCTGCTACAGTTTGTCTACCACAGCAATGAATACGTGGTTTACAAAGGCTGCAAATTCTGTATTAATCAGTTGGATAGGCTTTCTTGTTCTCACTCACTGTAGTACCTTGAGACAGAAAATGAACCTTGGAATTAGATCAAGAATTCTGACTTCAGCCTGGGCTCTCGGAGTGGTCTTTATTTTATCTCCACATGCTTGTAATATGAATATTAACTTGCTAATGATGTCTGGATGCATTCCAGGTCAATCTCTGATTAGTTTTAACTAACATCTGTCACTGGCAACCAAGCTGACAACCAACTATGTTACTTTCTTATGTAAGAAAATAAATGCTTATGTCAGTATTTAGAATGCTTTGATTGGTTTGGTACCAGCATATTTAAATTTTGGGAAGAAAGAAAAGCTAGCCAGTTTGAGGAAAAACTGCATCTTCAACATTCAGGCTTAGTTGGAGGCTTTGGTTGTGTGGATAAGGACTTTGTACCATTGTTGACATTGCAACTGTACAAGATAGTACTTGGAGTTCTAAAGAATTCTGTGAAGTTTTAGTCCCCTCTCAACATAAGACAACAAAGTTGCAACTTGGTGATGAAAACTTGTTTCAACCTTTGCTTGGGCAATACCAAAAAAATCATAGATTCATAGAGTAGTTGAGGTTGGAAGGGACCTGGAGGTCTCTAGTCCAACCCCCTTCTCAAAGCAGCGTCAACTAGAACAGGCTATTCAAGGCCTCGTCCGACCTTAATTACTTTGTTTATGTAAAGTCATCATCATTACTAAACTTCCACGTAAACTCTTTTAAGTAGAAGCAAATAAAATAAAGAGAATTTTTTTTTATTCTATATTTTTTAAAAGGCCAGTGTAGCTTCATTTCTCCTGCATATTGTTTGTCATCTGTTTTAAGTGCTAGGAAAAAAGCATTTTGAATGAGAATGATAATGCTAAGCCTGTATATGTAGATTCTTCTGAGCAAAGAAACTTAGATGTGGCCAGATTTTCAAATTCCGAACACTTACATACCCTTCTTTGCTGTCAGGTAGGTATTAGTTTCAGAAGTGTACTGTTCTGAATCCTCCTCTGAATTTAAATGGAATGAAAATTAAAAAAATCCACAACAAATTGGTGCGTTTATTTCAGTTGCTATAAAAGTGATCAAGGAGCCAGAAGACTTGCAGGGAAAATAAAGAAGTGTTACAAGAATCCTCAGAATAAACCTGACTGACCTAATCATGCTGTTGAAAACTTCATCGTGATTTTTTTTTTAAGCTAAGGTCATCTTCACTATTAATTCTTGTCTCTGTATTATCAGCTGTTTTGTAAATGTGAATGCAAGTAACTTTTCCAGTTAATCAACTTCAGATGATTTGTTTGTTTTAAAGTTCTTCTAGCTACTCACAACAGGAGATTTCAAACACTGACAATAAATTGGTAAACTTTTTACCATGCTTCTAGAGTAGTGTTGGTACACACGCATGAATTCTTGTAATTAAAAAAAGGATTTGGAGGCTGGAAGGATAGGGGAATTTAGTAAGTATTTTGCTGGTTAAGTGTGAGATTATCTTTTAGAAGACGCATTACCCGTTCTTGAGAAAGTTTGAGTAATTGCTGGTAAGGTACCATTCATTTTTGGGATGGTGGACTTCCCCCCCCCCCCCCCCCACGTGAATGCATAAAAAGAGTCACAAAGCTTATAATGGCAGAGGTCATAATTAAGGCATTTCAGAATGTTTTTTGTTTGCCCTATAGCTAATTTGTCTTTAATTTAAAGCCAGATTAGAGTTTATGACTACTCTAGGTTACTCTATGAACTGTCTGATTGATAGGCCAAAAAAGTGGGTTTTTTTAAAGGTCTGTAAAGACAAAAGCTGTACTTCACAGTATGCATAGATGATCTGAAGCAGAGGGAAATAAGGAAAGGATGCCAGTACATCAGTTAAGTAACAAGACAGTTAACAGGACAGCTGATTCCCAGTTTATAGCTGTTATCTTGCTAGTATGTTTTGGTTGGTGTTTTGGGTTCTTCCCCCCAAATTGGGATGTGTATATATAGGCATTATATTCTGATTCTGCCTGAAGAGGTGGTACAGGTGCATGGTGTGGTGACAGCATTTCCTGATAATAAGGGGTTTATTACTTTAGATATTTAATGGTTTGGAGGCACTGTACTTTCAGTATAAAGGACACATCAGAGTCTATAATTACATGGCTTGAATTATTGTTCTTCCTTTCTAAGTACCTTCCATATAGTAAAAGAATAACAAAGGCAATGCTGCAGTTTGTGGTGTTGATATAGAATATAGCTAGTTTCCTTAGTTACGCTTACTCTGAGGTTGCTTTTGCTACCATTGTCCAGAAATTATGATTTAAAGGAGAACGGTCTCTGTCATCAAAAACTAGTAGTAGTGATCACGTACAGAAGCAGCTTGAGGCATTCAGGAAAGCCGTAACATACGACAATCTGATGAGTACAAGAAGATAATCCTTAGTCCCAAAGGGATGGGCCAGCATGTTCAACGGAGTGGCAAAATACTCTTAGCAAGAATGGATACAAGCCTGCATCTTCTACGTGTCAGTGGTCAAAAATATATATGAACAAACAGAGTACTGTCAGCCTTGCAGTCAGCACTTAACGCCATGAGAAAAATCTTTGCAGAAGTATCTTTAGGTAATATTTAATTTTGTAATTACATTCTAAATTCCTCTTCTGGCTTTAAAATACATTAATCAGTGACTTTTTCATCTATAGTTTTGAGGTCACACAATTTCTGTCCAATGTGCAAACTTAAGACATCATATATGCAGGACAAAGTTGCCCAACACCATATTTCTCCCTTTCTGTAAGTTTTTCTGTAATTCCTAAAGTCGATTTTTTTTTTTTTTTGAGGTAGGGGAGGAGAAGGAATTTGAAGCTGCTGAAGATAAAATTCTCTTCCTGTACCCTAGCTACTTATCTTTTAGCGGGAATTAATCTAAGCACTGCTTCCTTTTTTATTCAGAATTCCTTTTTCAAGGCATAGTACAGAAATAATTGCTATTTGCATATATCTGTATTATACAAAAACCTGGCATAGTCATGAAGTTAACCATCTGTTTTGGATTACATGACTTCACTGAATATGAAATAGTAAAGTGGTGATTGTCATAATTCTGATGTTGTGATACTAATATTTATTGAAGTGCCCTACTTGCTGAAATAGATGGGGATTAGTTACCTAGATACTTTTAAAGTTTTGGTTGTTAGTATTCTACTCCTTGTCAACAGTAGTTCAATGTCAATAGTATGTAGTTCTGGTGTAAAACTATTTTCTGGGTTTCAAACAGAACCCTATATTGTGACATTTTCACTTATATTTTCATCACATTAATTTTTGGCAAAACCTGTTTTTCCACCTGTCGAAACAAGTATGCATTGCATACTTCGCATCAGTGGACAAAGGCAGCATCAATATTAAAAATGCACTTCCTGGTTTATTTCCTTAACTGAAAGAATATTTGGTTGTAACTTCAGATTTTTTTCCCAGTTACAAGTTTAAATTCTAGATTTATACATGTGTTCTTTCTACATTTAGCAGATACTAAAGCTGGAGAGAAACAGTACGGTAGCAGCTTTCTGGCAGACAATTGTATGCTATTCAAAAGTGAACATGCATAACCACCATCTCCAAACAGGATAAGAAATTACACTCAAAATGTGTAATTTCTTGTATGTTTGATGGAATCGGTAACTGAATGAACCAGTTAAACACATGAAACTTGAACTATACATATAGCATGTCAACTAATATAATAAATGTCAACTGTATAAAATATCAACTAGTTTTATTATGAAGGCACTTTTATTTAAAAGCAAAGCAGCATTAAAAGTAGATACTGGGCTAGGTCCTTATTTGTTAATGTTCATTCTGTATGCGTGAAGAAATCGAAAGTCATCTTAGTCAAGCTCGAGGAAAATGAGAATGAGAAAACAATACACCTCACCCTGCCTTCTGCCATCCAAGGTGGGTAACAAAATGAAACGTAACAGGATTGTTGCTGTAATCAGTTTCTTGAGTACTACAGTTACTTTAGGATGTATAAAACCAATTGTGCCAGGTATAGCTAAAGGACTTACTAAATCCAAGAGGTGTGTAGCGAGCGAATAAGGTAATACATTGGCAACGTAGCAAGCAAACCCTTACATTTGTAACTGCTTGTCAGCTTCGTGCAATTTTTGGACACTGTTCATCATGTAAGTTTAAGCAAATGTGACTGCAGTATAACATCTATGCAAATATAATACAGGATTCTATTTAAATACTTAATTTTCTAGCTACTGAAATCGTCCATTTTCAGCAGATTCTGTTCCATTCTTTGAAATTGATTATTTGTTTCTGGCACTCTACTATTGGGGCCAATTCTTGCTCCTGTTGGAATTTCAAAAATACAGCCCCAGTGAAGTTTTTGACTAACATACAAAAGCCTTTATGTAAAGGGAAATCTTTTTTTCCCCCCAATCAAAAAATAAGGCTCTTAGAATAGTTTTGTTATCTCACTTCCTTAGTAGCATCTAATTCCTCCTCCTCCTCTTCTTCCTCATCTTCATCTTCCTCCTCCTCTTCCTCTTCATCTTTTCTTAGCATACTGTTGGAAATCTGTTAAAACAAAAATCCAACAAAAGTAAATCAAGTGTTTGTTCTCCTGAAAGAAAAAACAATTCTCTGCTGGCATTTCCAGTCTAAATACTTGCAGGTTTTTCGTTTAGGGGGAGGGGGGAAGTTGTTTATCCCTTAACCCTTCAACTTCTAGTAACGTGCACAATGACAGCAGAAAGATACATGGCACAGAATATAAATACAGTAATGATTTTTAAAAGCTAAAAAAATCCCCATAGTCCTGAGAACTGTTAGAGGATAGGGAAAACTATGCATTGATTGAATTAATGCTAAAAATCAACAGGATGTTAGTCAGTTTTTTTCTGGGTTGGCTGTCGAGACAGCAGGCTGAAGATGAGTATTAAGGCATAATCTTATCTTGAAGACATCAAACCTCTTCAGTTAAATGAAAAACTCAACACTAGGCTGCTCTAAGCTGTTTTTGAGAATAAATTAGACAAACTTTACTAGAAGAGTCTTGATTCATATATGAACTTTTTTCCCTGCCCATCAGCGCTTGCCCTTCAGAATGATACTGTAGTCCTATTTTGGTTCATCAAATGTTAAAAACAAGTGCCAGCTGCCAAGCTTTCATCTCATCTGACAGATTCTGCCATCTATACTTTTTTCTAATGAGGGCTCAATCTAATTCCTATTGAAGATAGATTCTTCACAGAAGATGCGACATTTACAATTTAAAGTGGAATATATGTTTTTTTTTTCTTTCCCCATGAGAAAAGGAACATTAAACTCAAAGATAGTTCATCTGGAATGCTTTTGAAAAATGATTTTAGGTGCAGCAGTTCTCTAAGGGCATCTGCAACTCTATATTTTCTGAGTTTTCTCACACACAGTGATATAATAAAACTTCAGTATTGAAGACAAAACTTGCCTTTTTTTTTTAAACAACCCCCTATTTTAAAAGTCCTTAAATGCTGATTATTAAATTGACTTCTGAGATTTCATAATTCATACAGCTATGTATGTAACAAAAGATTTTTGTGTGTGCATAAAGCAAACTGTAATCACTGAACTAATGAAAGCAGAAAAATCCTTAGTCTTGTTGATGCTCACAAAGTACATAATTTAGCTTGAAGCAACTGCTTGCTTAGAAATCTCTGAACGTAACAGAAAATGGAGTTAATCATTGGATGAAGCTGGATTAACTTGAGTCTAAATGCCTAAACCAGCAATCTTTCATTCTGTGAAAGAAGAAAAAGACAATGACACTGATTTGTAATTGGAGATTAAGGAGTGCTGCAGATTGAGCCTGTTAAGGTAGCTTCATTTCAATGGATAGACTAATTTTCCAAGTTTTTTCTAGTTAAGAGCATCTGAAATTCTTAAGCAGAACTTCAGTCATATTTCTGAATAACGGCTCCGCTTTCCCCTTTCCTGAAATAAGAGGTGCTATTTTGGCTTTAAGTTTTTTTTTCCTGCTCACTACTCAAGTACTTCTGACCATGCTGTAATTAACTACACAGTAAATTAAATATTATCACTGTTGGCAGTGAGGTCGTGGTAAGATGGCTAACGTAAGAACCAGACTGGATCAGAGTAAGGAAAGTGATAAAGGCAATTGGGCAGTTTAAATCCATGTTATTTTGCCATAAAGCTAGAACATACCCGTACTTGAAAATTCAATTTTTGATTACTTAATGCGAAAAAATAATTTAATTTAAAAAATTTAATAGAATCTGATAATTTGTTGCTTATCATAAACAATTTTGTGTGAAAATGAATTCTTTAAGTTTACACATAGGTGATGACTGTCCTTGCTTCAGCTGTTAAGCTGCATGTTTCACTGCATGTGCTGCTACAGAAAGCATGGCAATTCTCACGTCTTACACACAGCGGGCAGTGTTGGAACACCTGGATGCAGACATTTTCAACCACAGTTGAAATGATACTTTGCTGTCTTAGAGGGCAGGTGCAAAACAGTTGGCTATATTAAATGCATGTGGATAAAACTTGTTAAGTTTGATTTAAAATATCTGGAAAAGTTCATTCTTTTCTGCTATAGTTCTGTCTAAAATATAGCATACCAACCTGAATCAGTAAAACGAAATGCTGAAGATAAATTGCCAAGTAAAGTGCAAAACGAAGCGATTTACAAAGGATTGTCATGAAAACGTAAATAGCCTTTTCAGAACTTGCGTAAAACTATCTGCAATAGTCATGTTTAAAAAAAGCCCTGAACCCCTGAAGGGGTTTTCTCATAATGGGGAGCCATCCTATGAAAAACAGCTTTCCTGGTGCATAGTTTTCTCTCCTGATCATATTAATTGCATAGAAATGAAAAAATCCAAGTCTTATTGTTGTACTGTCAGTGCAGCTTGGGACATTAGTTCTTTCTAACAGGATTGTCCATTGCTCCTTTTCTTGTGGTTTTTTAGTACTGTCTGCTAAATGAAGTCTGGCAGGTAGGATGGAGAAACTAGCATCTCAATTGCTTCAGCTAGCCTGAGCACAAGTTGAAAACAACTATGAAAGTCAAGGGGGGAAA